TCAACAATATAGAACTTATCTACAACAATTTACTAAAAACTTTCACCCGCTAATGCAAAAATTACAATAGTTGCTCAATCAATCATTTTTGGCATCGACGAACTAGTAGAAAACCGTATTTGAACCAGATTATTATATAGATATACAAAAACAACAAAACATAAAAAAAATTACTAATTAATCAGTGAAATTACTTTTTTTGAGCAAATTTCGATATAAAATTAGGGGAGGGCTGGCCCAAAAAAGACACTTGCAAAGAGGCTGAGTGCTTCCGGATTTCACTACAATCTGATGAAAGGTTTAAAACTGATGAAGAAAAAACTAGAAAAAGGATTTTGTTTCAACGCTCTATATCTTCGAAACAATGCGATTTAGCAAAAATTTTCTTATATCATGCAGATACATCAATCTGTAGTATTGTTTCCCAAAGTTATCAAGATACATATATATGAGTATAGACAGCTTCCGCAGCTATTCTAACAGTCATTTATTCATTCACTATTCATTTGGACTAAAGGTCGGCATTATTTGCGTAACACGAACGTTTGAGCATTCGGAATTTCCCAAATTGAAGCATTTTTACCTAAAGCTCTAAGTGATTGATTCTGGAGCAACGCATTCTAGCTAAGCCCAAATAAAGAACTTTCTCCAGCTGAGTAGAAAGGCACAGCTGAGCCCACAGAACTAAAATCTGCCTTCATATAAGGGTGATTTAATAACAAAGAAAATTATATCGAAATGAAAAAATGCAGGGACGTATTTATCCGCCACGAAAACAAGAGGTCGTATTAAATATTTGACTAGAGGAACGTAGAAAGCTCTTCTATGAATAAATCGAATAGAGTACGCCAGCAATACAACCTTTCCTTAAATCCAAATGGGAATAGTTTTAGTTGAAAATTGTGAAACTTTATTCACAAACGCAAGAATAAATACGATGTTTTTTGCTTCCAGGTCGCTTGGGTGCGTGCAGAAGACCAAACAATCCTCAGCTTGCACTCAAAAGTGGTAACTCACAACAGCAGAATCGGAGTCACTCACGATAGCGCAAATACGTGGCAATTGCGTATTCGGCAATTGAAAGAATCCGATCGTGGATGTTACGTATGCCAAATCAACACCGCCGTCATGAAAATAGCAGAAGGATGCTTGGATGTCTATGGTAAGYYGCTGAATTAAAGGCAACATTAGAAAATTACAATTSAAARTTCAAAAAAAARYTCAAATTACAATTTGAACAATCGTTTGAGGTTCAGGCAATTTTTCGAGTTTTTCCGCCGAAAATCAATCAAATGTTTTCAACTCAATGCTTCCGACATAGAAAGTTCTCAATATGCATCTACAGGGCAGCAAAATCCTTGAGGTCTTCGTTTGTAGGTCTAGCTCCGGACACCCTGTATAAAGAATTCGAGTATATGATAAAGTATTTAAAATATGATATGATGAAATATAGAGGGTTAAAGACCGCGATCACTTAAAAACCGCTTCAAAACCGTCAAAAAAATCACCAATTGTTCAACCAACGACGGGAAAAATCTGAACCATTTATTCAACTTCATATAGTTTTTTAACTGATGGCAGTTTAGTTTCTTTCGATTTTCTTAGACTTCTATCGATTTTTTTCATTCCAAATTCTGCCCCCGGATGAACAGTTGAAGACCTTCTGGTCATAAAACATTTTGTCCATAGTTCGTAATTGCCCTTCATGTGAGATTAATTTACAGCCAAAGGGATGGAGGCAGGTGAAAACCTGCAAACCGGGAAAGTTGAGCACACTGTTCGAGGTTATTCTAAAAGTTGATTTTGCGGTAGTTTCAGTTTAGCGGATCGGGATAGCTCGTTTGTAATAGTTTTGCGGGAATAAAGTAAATAGTAATCGATATTTGCATATGTGAGTGTGGTTTCGTTTTAATGAACCTAGTTTTCGAACATATTCAACAGAGTGTCTTAAAAACAAGAATTATTATGCGATATGAAACTGCTGTGGTCAGGGTAAATAAGTACTTGTATTTCAGGACGTTGTAGTTTGAATGTTTTAGCATTATCTGCGCATTTTTTCCAAATATGGACCTTATTTCCAAACAATTTGCATTAACAATTATTTAACAAACAACTGCTCAAAGTCCACTTACTGTATTATTCGATTTGTAACTGTAATTACACTGCAAATAAGAAAAAAGCGTAGCTTTGGTTTTTTAGACCAAAATAAGTTTTTTTGTCGTGGAAATACTGGTAAAAAACGCACGGTCCTCAAGCTAAAGAGAATAATGTTTTGGCGAAAAAGTGATTTTTTGGTTTGCAAAGTTATGAAACTTTGTAATTCCTTGATATTTTTTATGTCTCACTTATGCTATTCAAATAAAATTCAATTTAATCAATTCAATTAAATAAAAAACTTGAACGTGGTTAGAACCAGATGTCTAAATCAGCTTCCCCACTGATTTGAAGTAAGTATTTATGCAGTTCAAACTTTAACCCTTTTTTCCTCAGAAAATCAGCAAAAGTGGGGAGTTTTTTGTATTTTGCAAAACATGGAAATTTTCAAGAATTTTTCAAATTGACTTTCGTGGTCGTTTTACGCAGGCAAAAGTTTACCGTTTATTTCATATGTTAATTGAACAGTGAGAATGGGAATTTTGGAAGAATTCGAAAGGGTATTCTAAAAGGTCTCCTGTAAAAGTGTAGAAAGTTTCTATTGCCAGTCATCATTAGACAATTTTCACGAATTTTAAAATTCGTATCTGGTTTTGTGATGGTTATGCAGGCTAGAGATTAGCATTTATTTCATCTGTAAGTTTCAGAGTGAGGAAGTCCGTTTCCGATGGATTGTAAAGGGCAAGGTCTGTTGTATAAAACAAGAAAGTTTCGATTTTCCAGTCATCATCAGGCAATTTTCGACAATTCTTAAAAATCGTGTCTGGTTTTGTGATGGTTTTGCAGGCCAAAATTTGGAATTTATTTATTCAGAACGAACGAACTTAGAGAGTCGTTTTTGCATCTATTTTAGAGCGAAAAGTCTGTTCGATCAGCGTCAAACTCGCGTCTGGTTTTCGTAGTAGATTTTCGAATACCAGAGTTTAGAATTTATTTCATATGTAAATTGCACAGTGACAAAATCAGTTTCGGATGCATTCTAAAGAGAAAGTCTCATGTATAAGTGTGGTAAGTTTCGATTTCCAGTCATCATCAGAGCACTTTCTAGAATTTTAAAAAATCGCGTCTGGTTTTGTGATGGTTTTTGCAGGCTGGAGTTTGGCAGTTATTTTCTCTGTAATTTGCAAATTGAGAAAGACAATTTCGGATGCAATTTGTAGAGCAAACTCTCTTATTTGCGTGACGGTACTTTCGATTTTTAGTCATCCTCGAGCAATTTTAGACAATTTTGCAACATGGTTTATTTCGTTGCTTTTGCAGGCCACCATTTGGCCTCTGTTTTCAAATTATCGCTTTTGCGATTATTTTGTAAAGCAAAGTTTGTTCTATTAGTGTGAAAAGCTTCGATTTTGAGTCATCAACAGGCTATTTTTTTAATCTGAAACTTATTTACTGAGGAACTTGCAAAGCTTGCGCGTCACTTTTGTATCAAATTTGTAGGGTAAAGTCAACTCTATAAGTGGAAAACTTTTCGATTTTGAATCATGCTTAGTGAATTTTCGAGAATTTATTTTTTATTTAGCGCTGCTTTATGCAGGTCTTGTATAAAACTAAACTTCGGTATAAGCTTTGAAAAAATTATAAAAATTAAAATTTATTTATCTCATTGTTGTAAGAGGAGTTTAGGTACTGATGATTTTAAAAAATTAAAAGAGAGTGATCGTTAAATAATTTCTTCACTCTGAAAGCGTTTTTTGGGAGGAAAATTTAATTCTCCAATTACAAATATAACGCAAATACACTGTTTTGGTAAAACACGGAAAATTTTTCCAAAATTTTGTGAAAGCTCATTCCCGAAAAGACGTCAATTATCATCGTTTAATCGAATTAGTCCGTTTGCTGCGTTCGGTAAAGATTTCTACAAATTGGAGTTTTTTTGTCTTCAATTGAAAAGTGTTTTGAAAGAGAAAGGGACGAAAACTTTAGTTTTTTTTTAAAATACTTTTAGCAAAATATGAATTTTTTTTTGTCCCAATTTAATATTATTTTGTATATATTATCAGTGTATTAGTTGTATTGTTGTATTAGTGACAGTGTCCTAATACACACGCCTCATAACTTAGTGCAGAAAAGAAACAGGAGAAATAACTCGCATTAAATAAACACTTTATTTCCGCTAGGCTTGATTCACTTTTGGCTGTGAATATTTTTGCAATTATTAATCGGATTTGAACAAATTTTTGATCGAATCAGCACTATTCTTGTGCAAAATTTAAGTTATAAAACAAGCAAAAAAATGTACTCACAAAATTGTTCAACGTGGTTAAATAGTACCAGGTTTTCATGGTCAAAGTTTAAATTCGTCTGCAAGCAATATCGGCGAGCGGTTATAAAAAAATTAATATCTCTCGAATGGCTCAGGGTAAACAACCCATTAAATGTCCAAATTTCTCACAATACAGCGTATATTTTTTTCTCTCTGATAGATTTCAATTTTACATGCTGATAGATTTCAACTTCGACCAAGAAAACGTGCCAGGATTCAAACAAATGTTTATTTCAATTTTTTTGCTTATTTTATAACTTAAATTTGGTCCATGAATAGTGGCTATGACTCGACAGGAAAATTATTCAAGTCGGATCACCAACTGAGAAAATATTCCCAGTAATTTGCGGCGCAGTGTAAATATGGATTTTCCATTGCATCTTATCTGAAAACAAATGTTGCCCTGAAAAGTAATAAATCCCACCGGCTTATTCTATCATTCTTTATCAGCAGCGTCAGAATATGTTTCTATAAGCTATAATGTAATGCCGATGATACATATTCCCTAGACATTGAACTAAAACTCGAAAAAACCCTTTCGTCTTACACTTACACATTAATCATTATGTAATTTCTTCATTCACTGCGTCGATTTTTTGTTCAAATCCGATGACACCTAGCCATTTGTCCGTTTCCGCTCAAAAGCCCGTTATTTTCATCAATCAAACGCAAACGTTAATTAAAACATCGAAAACCGAGAACTTTATTTAATAAATTTAGTAATTATTGATGCATGAAAATCATGGAATATTGAAATTAATTAATGGAAAAAAGCGATATTTGAGAAAATTGCTTCGACGCGTACAGAAGAGCAAACTGACTGAAATTGAGAAAATTCTTATATTAGGTTTCACCAACTGCAAGTCATGCAGTTACACTAATTCAATTCTTCAGTAAATCGGGGTCCTAATTAAATCACATACACAGCTGGATGAAAAGGAAATGAAGAATCAGAAGGAAACTGCATTAGTTTTTGGTATTCAGAGTAGTACGAAAAATTACTGGGACATTTGCCTACTTTTCAAATTTTTTTTCTTCGGAAAAGACAATTTATTTAAACACAGATTTTTTCAAGCAAAAACTGCAATTAAAACTTTCACCATAAATAAAAGGTATCTGTTGAAATCCGTATTGTGAATCTAATACTTTCGGAACTTTAGGTAGTACAGTAACATCGAAACAAATTTACATTTGAAGCAGATCAAACCCTAAAAGCTAATGAAATAATGTCGTAAACACGTTTTTCTCGCCCATTGGAAGGCTGGTAAAACAATATAATTGAGCCAATATAAATTGCCCGGCAATACTTCATACCGTAAAAGCCTTAATAGGCGCCGTTTCAGCTTCAGGTTGTTTTGGCCTTAGGAATATGGCCCTAATAATAATTTATCAATCCCAAAGGGACTCCCTTATAGACGGTATATTTCTTAAGGAAGCGACCGGCTGCTTTCGGGAGTTTAACGTTAATAAAATAAGGGATAATTTGGAAACTCATTAAAAGCTTTGGGGACGTAAATTTTATATGGTTTCACTCCGTTTTTTTCTCGACTGCCTGGATTAGCCGAATTTTATACTGCCGTTGGATTTTTTTTATTTTGCATTAATTACTTATTGTTTCCAAGTCATGACTTGTTTTGAAAACTTTACTCGAAAGTTCTACAAAGTAGGGCAATTTTATTGATGTGTTTCATTCAATTTTTAACTCCTTCGAGGTTATTGCTTTCTTATCGTTTAATAAATAA